AGATTAGTATGTTGGAGTCTGAGTGAAAGAGGAGCAGTCGGTGAAACTATTTTACATTTGTGTATGTTGCACGCGACAGCCATTCATGCGGACTTGGCAAAAAGACTGTTACACTTTTATCCAAATCTCATAAATGACATTTACATAAGCGATGAATATTACGGTGAGTCAGTTAAAATCTATAATGAAGCTAACATACACAATATTCATGAATATATTAAAACTTCAAATCACGAGTAAGTTCTTATCGATCTAATGTTGTTACGTATAATCATCAATGTTTAATAATTCAATGTTTAATCAATCATTTCTTACCTATAAACGTTATAATCATTAACGATTAGAATCTCTAAGACGAGACATTAACGTACGGCCTCTGGCAAATCTGCTGCAATTAATTTTACGACTTTTATACATCGTGAAGTTATTTAACATCGAGGTCAAGTTAATTTTCCTAACCTAATGTCGTGGCATTTTTTTTTAATTTTTCATCATATTACAAATACCTTGTAGTTAGTCATAGTCTATTTACGTGCTTACTTGCGTGCATCAGCCAAGTATGTGTACCTAAACCAGGTGGACGTTTCGATAGACGAAGGTCACGACTGCTCTTTCTACACTGCACAATGATAACGATGAAACAATTCAAAATGTTATTATCTGATCAACTGTCAAATTCGATTTAATATTTACAATTAATTATACTTCCATTTTTAATAGGGGAAAATGTATTACACATAGCAATTGTTAACGAAGATCCAGCTATGGTAAAATATCTTTTAGATAGTGGAGCTGACGTTCATGAACGTTGTTTCGGTAATTTCATGTCTCCCGAAGATCAAAAAGCTTCGAGATATGATAGTTTGGATCACGAGTGGGTTTGCGTTGCTCCCGAAACAAATTACAGCGGGTATAACAATTAAATCTGAACTAATGGATATAAAAAAATGGAAGTCGATTATTCTTCATTAATGTTAATGGATCTTTTATTAGATACGTTTATTGGGGAGAATATCCTCTCAATTTTGCAGCATGTTTAGGTCAAGAGGAATGCTACAGGCTCATATTAGCAAGAGGTGCTGATCCTGATAAACAAGATACCAATGGAAACACTGTATTACATATGCTCGTCATTTATGAAAAAGCGGTAATCTTTATTACTTTTCTTATTTATTTATTGTTAATAATATCGGTAAACAAATTTTCTTATGCCCCATCGATAGGCAACACATTATCACAGCGTGTAAAGCACATTGCCTATCAAAGGAGTTATATAAAACTACTTTACCAACTTCTAACAACAGTTGCCTACATTATCAACTAGAATAAAGTGTTACATATCTCCAGGCGCAAAAATCACAAAATTAATATTACCTTATTATCTTATTATAATAAATAAAAATGATGTAATAAATGATTTAACTATAAAAAGAATTTGTTTTTAGGCAACTTTTGACATGGCTTACGAAGTTGGTGCATCATTGTCTATTAGAAATGTTCAACACTTAACACCGTTAACATTATCAGCTAAATTAGGGAGAGTTGAGATGTTTTTTCACATTTTAAATATAGAGAGGGAAATTTATTGGCAAATAGGAAGTATAACGTGTGCAGCTTACCCTTTATCGCAAGTTGATACGATAGATGTGAATACAGGACATATTAGTCACAATTCTGCTTTAAATCTCGTTGTTTTTGGTGTAAGTTTAAATAGAATTTAGTAAAACTCAATATGATTAAAATAATGATTATACAAATAATGTATTATTTAGGACAAAGACGAGCATTTAGAATTATTGGACGGTACTCTGGTTGATCTTTTAAATGCTAAATGGAATACGTTCGTAAAGGATCGGTCAGTAATAAAAAAATTAAATAATGAATTAATCGGAAAATTATACTAAAATCTTTTCAAATTTGTATAGATTTTATCAACAATTTTATCTATTTTGTTTCTACTTCATTCTATCATTAATAAGTTTTACTTTACGTCCTGGACCATCATGGACGTTGGAAGATCCTGCCGCACCAACGACTGTTGCAAGCACCGATCCAACCTATAATATGTCTGATCCAATGATCATGGAAACTAAACGAATTTTAAAATCATTGCGAGTCGATGAACTCTCAGAGTCGATTGCTAAAAATTTAACTACAAATTTACTTTTGGAAACAAAATTAACAAAAAATTCTAGCAACGTTCTAGATAAAATTTCTTTGCAACTAATGTCGAATATGACTTTGATATTAAAAGATGCTTTGTTACCAATTCTATTATCGACGTTAGAAGAAAATAATACGTTAGATCGATTAGATGGGAGCTTTATTAATCATACTTGGAACAATGAAAATCATCAAAATATTAATACAACTAATCGCATCAATATAATCGATGATTTACTTAAATACAATTCTACGATGAAGGGTAATGGTTTCAACGGTTTTATTGAAATTAATAAAAAAAAAAGTTGGTAAGTAAAATTAGAAATATTTATCGGATTGTCTAATGATTAATAAACTAAAAAAATAAATATTAATTAATACAATAAAACAAAATATTTGAGAAAAGAAAAAAGAAATACTTGTAAGAAAATGTTGAGGAAAAAATGTTGAAGAATTGTTTCGAATTAAAAATATGATTACACAAAACAGGTGGCAAACGTTTACAGAAGAATGCAGATTAATGCACTTAAATTCTGCTACAGCAAAAATTCGTTTAATAGCCGAAATGTTAATGGCAATTGCAGCTGTTCTTTATATCGCTGCTGCTCTAAGAGAAGCAAGATTTTTAGGATTGAATATGTTCATCGAGAATCTCGTAAAAAAGAAAAACCATTTTTTTCTTTAACACAATATTCTATAAAAAAAAAAAAAGAATTAATAATAAATATAATAGCAATGATTCATTTTTCAGATGACAGCACCATCCCGAGTAATGTTTTTATTTTCCTGTTGCCTTTTACTTTCGTTCCCAGCACTTAGATTAACTTGCGCCGACGAAGTTGAAGATATGCTTGCTGTAGTCGTCATGTTAACGACAGCACCATATTTTTTATTCTTTTGTAGAGGCTTCAAAACCGTTGGTCCATTCGTCGTAATGATTTATAGAATGATCATGGGTGATTTGCTTAGATTCGTTGCAATCTATTTGGTATTTGTTATGGGATTTTCTCAAGGTAATTAATTACTTTTGTATGTTTTGTGTAATTTTTTTTTAATTTTATATTCCTAAGAAATATCCATAATAAAATTGAGACATTTTAATATTTAAATTTGAAAGATAGGCATTTAAAAAAAAAACAATCGCAACCCTTGTAATGTGCAATTTTTCCTATACATCTATAAAAAAAAAAATAATATATATATATATATATATATATATATATATATATCTACGCACATAAATAATCATTATACCAATTAAAAGAAGACATTGAGAAGAACCAAGTAATTGACCCTTGTATATTTGAAAGAAATAGTGTTAACTACTAAGAAGTATTCTTTTTAATCGGACAGTGAACGAAATTCATCAAACATATTTAAAATACTCGCCCTTTTAATATGCAATTTTTTTTCTATATATCCTTAGAAAAAATTTCGTCTATACATATCTGTACACATAAATAATCATTATTCCAATTAGAAAAAGTCACAGAGAACGTCTACGTAATTGACCTTTCTATATTTGAAAGAAATAGTGTTAACTGCTAAATAACAAGTATGTTACTTTTTTTTATAATTCTAGCTTATTACATCATATTCTTATCCTTTGACAATCCTAATACGCCAGACGGCGTCGACGATTCAACAACTAATCCGATGCCATCTCCAATGGAGAGTGTCATGGCAATGTTTCTTATGAGCATGACGAATTTCGGTGATTACTATGGAGCATTTGAAAGAACAGAACATGAAATGGAGGCCAAGGTAATGTCACCACAAGAATGCAGAATATTACTGATCTCAAACTGGCATCTTTATGATACTATTACGCAAAACGCATGCTTCATTTTAATTTCCAGATATGCTAAAAAAATACAAATATTAACAAATTCAAACATAAATATTTATGATAAATTATTTGAAATGATACACGCGTTATACATTTCAAATAATTTTCATCACACACGCTAGAAAAAAATTAAATATTTATAAATAAAATATAATTGATTTTTATTTTACAGCTTCTTTTTGTCATTTATATGGCAATCGTTGCAATTTTACTTGTTAATATGTTAATCGCTATGATGGGAAACACGTATCAAAAAATTGCTGAAACAAGAAACGAATGGCAAAGACAGGTATATATTTAAATTGTTAATAAAAATAAAAAATAACAATAATAATAAATTGATACTACGCATACAGATTATTTTATATAGAATTGATAATTAAAATCACATCTGTACAAAAATTGTAGTGGGCGCGAATAGTTTTGGTAGTCGAAAGAGGAGTGAGTCCTTCGGAAAGATTAAAAAAATTAATGGATTATTCTCAACCGATGTCAGATGGGCGAAGAGCATTGGTATTGCGTTTAAATCAAACGGTAAATCCTATTCAAAAATATTAAAGATAATTTTAGTTCTTTCTTCTTTCAACGATGATTAATATTAAAACTATTTTAGGAGGAAGATAAGGAAGAAATGAAAGAAATCCTTGAAATGAAAAGAACACATGAAAGATTCTATAACAAGAGGCAAAGCAAACTAAAAGAAAAAAATCTAATATCTGAAACAGATGTCATTATAACTAGAGATTCTTTACACTAATTCTCGATAATATATATTCAAAACCTTAATATTTTAACGCAATGAAAGATATGCTGTAACCTATTTTTAAATGCAAACGCCTTATTCTTGTATTGCTTTGATAACATCATAAAAGAGAAATGTTTTGAAATTAGCGTAACCATGGTAATAAAGACATATCTTTACTAAACATAGGTTATCATTACTTGTTCTACCAATTCAGTACGAGTTGACTATACATTCAAACTGATATCTGTATTAATAATTTCAATAAAATGAGTATATTGAAATCACCAATTGATTATAAAATATTGCAAGATGAGTTGTACGAAGCACTCAAAGCAGATGAGTTATATAAATTACAGAATGATGCAAAAATCAGAGCAGTGGAACAAAGAGTACCTACTTATGAACATTTTAGACAAATGGTAAACTATTATCAACAACAAAAATATGGAATAAATGTTATATATATCTTTTATATTTAACAGGTAAATGGAGCACATTTAAAACCTTTAGAACCAAAGGATACTAAATCTAAATCTAACTCGGTAGCATTGTGGAATTCCATGAGCACAAATAATAGATCAGAATGTTTACCTACGATGTATGAAACTAATGAAACAAAATTAAACGAAGAAAAAGTCAATGAATTTACTAATACGATTCCAAAAAATTACAAAACATTTATCCAAATGTGGAGAAATACTAATGATAGTAAAATAAGATTTTTTTACCTTTACAATACAAGGTAACGCATAACTTTATACAAAAAGCAAAAAATAGAAATACACTCAGCTACATAATAATTAATCTTTTTAAAGGAATATTTTAAAAGACAAAATATTCTACAGTGAGATTCCTCCATTCTACCTCACTGATATAATTAACACATGTCTTGAACATCAAAAACAAGAATCCTTGAAAGTAGAAGAACTTAAAGCAATAATAGAAATTCTAACAACTTTAAGTAAATGTAACAGATTTAATCTGGCAATAAATTTCATGTCAGACAAGGAAAAAGAAAATTGTTCTCAGTTGCTTCGAAGCCTAAAAGATAAAGTAAAAAACAAAGAAATAGCATTAGAGGAAAATGTTATTACATCACTAACTAAAAATTATCAAATAGTCTAATTAAAACAGTAGATGCACTAAGGAAACAAATTTATTGTTATTTTCAAATACCAATAACATAAACTTTTTTTGTCAACAAATAACAATGAAAATAATAAAATGTAATTAAATATTAAAAGAATAATTAATAAACTAATATATAGAGAGTTCATTTATATTAATTATTTATAATCAAGAGAAAGAAATATGTAATACTGAATAAATATTTAGGAGCATGCGTAAATGCACACACACGTGATCGTAGAATGCCCAATATGGACGCGCACAATATATCGTCGTACTGCGGGTATCGCGTATTTTGAAGCGCAATGAACAGTTAAAAACAAAAGATATAAAAAGATAATTCATCGTTATCGCTTTGGAAATACACTGTAGCACATCGTAATCTGATATTAAAATTTAATCAAAAATATCTAAGAAGATAATGCGTTACGTTGAGATTAATATTAACTTGTCTCTCAAACGATACTCATACGACACATCCAAGAAAGGAGAGATACAGACTCGTTAGTGTATATGTGATTGTTACTTCTTATTGTAAATAAACCGGCAGGATATATAATATTATAAATATAAATTATTCGGACGGACGATAAAAAGACAATGAGCATTTAAATAAATTGTGTTATTGTCTTGTAAGACAATGAGGTTATTATTTAGATATATGAAAAACAAAAAGAAACGTTACTGTTATCGCAAATGAAAATCTTCTTCCTCTTCTTCTTTTTCTTCTTCATCTTCATCTTTATTTTTATTTTCATCTTCTTCTTCTGTAATTACTACGTCAAATTCTATTCGTCAGTGAGTTGAGAATTTCTCGGCAGATACTATGTGTGAAAAGGATTATGAGAGTGTTACTTTGGGTCACGTGATATTATTGCATCGTAAGAAAAAAAAGTTAATAAAATACATAAGCTAATGATATAAAACAGAGGAATAGTTACTTAAAATATTTCTAATACATATCGTTGAAATAAAACAACGTATGAGAAACAAACTTGTAATAATATAACTATTATTATTCTTATTATTATTATGATTATTATCTCTTAATAAGGAGATAGAGAGCGAAAGAAAGAGAAAGGGTGATTAGAATAAAAAAAACCATTGTAATAACGCGTATTGAATATTGTGATTATTAAAAGAAATAGAGTTATGAGGTTGGAAGAGATGCCACTGCGGCTCAGTTCGGATGAGCGGGACTTTGAAATGGACGAAGAAACCGATTATCTACTTCAACCTCCTGAAGATAGTATACGACTTTTGACATCTAGAAGACGACGATTTAATAATTGTTCCAAGTTCCTTAAAACTAGTCTGTGCGGGTAAGTAAACAAAAATACAATAGGTTTACTTATTATAGTATGTATTTCAAAATTCAAATTTAATAACATAAAAATATTTCATCTTTCGGTTCTCTGTTCAAAAACAAAATAAATTTTAATATTTCGAGTCTTTCGATTTGAAATATTTCTATCTTAAGATTTATTATATATTATATTATTAATTTATAGTTTTTTTTATATGTAAATCTTTTTATGACATTTGTATATATATATTCCTAGGGAATTTTTTAGCACACTTTGATATAACCTTTAATTTTTCTTTATATGTTTTTATAACTAAAAATTATAGGTAATTTTATTATTAATTTATACTTTTTTTTTTGTAAATTTTCTAAAAATAAAATTGAATATACACGTCTAGGGAATTTTTGGATAACCCAATTTTTTTTTCTTGTATATATACTTGTTAATATAATTACCATATTTATAGAATTTAATGACACGTTTATTTTATTTATCAGTACTCACCAAATATCATATTTTTTCGAAAGAAATAATTTCATAGTGATTGAAATAAGGTGTAAAAGTAACTGCGCGTTATGAGCTTGTAACGTTATCCTCCCTGCTATTGGTTTTCTGCGTTAAATCAATGATAAAGATTTTTATCAGACTTTAGCTGGTATATTTAACTTCGATGCACTTCTAATTCAAGAAATGAGTTCATCCAAACTATTCTAATAAACAGTGAAAGAATTAATAACAATTTTTTCGTTTTTGCTTTTGCACCATACAAAAATATTCATTTTAAATGTTAATTGATATAGAACAATAAAATCAGTATATACTTGCTACGTAAATGTGTCGAGTATACGTGTGAATACATGGTCTGGTGCATCTTCTCATCATTACATGTTCCTTGTTTGACAAAATGATGTCATAATAAAAATCCAATTGAACATTGATAAGAATAACATTATCTACGATATTTATAAGTATTCTAGAAAAAGTGTTCTTCGTTGAATATCTTTATTATAAATATTACATGTAAATTCCATGAAGACAATATCTAAATGGAGACACAAAGCAACGTAATCAGACTTTCGAAAGAAGACATACCATTAATATCAAGACCCCGAAATAGTAATTCGTGGACAAGGTGATATGTTTTTTAAATGACATTTAATATAAACATATATATCCACTTAATCATAAGTAAATATATACATTATGACTAATCTAGTAGGGGCATAATTAGAGATTGTCAAATGGTAATATTTCAAAACTTTTATTTCAGCTGGCAAGATGATAAATATAAGTAAAAACTTATTGTTAGTGATTTTATATCTTATACGCCATTATATACAAAAGATTCTGTAACTGATTGTACAAATGAACAAGGGATAATTCTACGTGAAAAACTAAGTGAAATTTACAGAATAAAATTTGTTTATATAAGGCTTCATTTTCGATAAAAATTAATTTAATAATTTGTCGAGTATAAGTGTAGTTGACTAAGCTTGTAATCCTGGAAACTAAAAGTTTCGTTCGATAAGCATAAGAATAGAATCGATAGTAAAGACAATATTACACTAGCAATATTTGTAAACATAATTCGAAGCACAAATAGTATATAGTCGAAATATTCAAAAGTGAGATGGCAAAATTTGTCAAGCTAAAACTGAATCAAATGTATGCATACTAGACTAAACTTTTTATGTAGAACCATCCCCTCGCTTGTATCACAAGTTACATGATAATTGACCCATTGTATTGTAAAAGGAAATTTTTGTATACATATCGTTATTTTAATTATTTACAGATGTTGTACGTGGATGTGGAAAAGATGTTGCAGAGAACGAGAATTAAGAGCAAGAGTTATTCATATTGGTCAACCCATGTATGAGAAATTTCCTACCAATGTAATACGAAATCAGAAATATAATGTTGTTACTTTCTTACCAATGGTAAATATTGTTATTATACAACGAATATAATTATATGAAATATGTTTGTAATCGTAATGAATAATTTTTTGTATCTTTTTTTTTTTTTAGGTTCTCTTTCAACAATTTAAATTCTTTCTTAATCTCTACTTTTTGCTCATGGCAATATCTCAATTTATACCGGACATAAGAATAGGATATTTATATACATATTGGGGACCATTATGTTTTGTTTTGATCGTAACCATTTGCCGAGAAGCCATAGATGATTTCAGAAGATATAAAAGAGACAAGGAAGTCAATGCTCAAAAATATCAAAGACTGGTTAAAGGTTTGGATATACCGGAATTAGTTCCCAGTTCTAAATTACGAGTTGGCGATTTGGTAAGACATTAAAATTTACAAACTCACAAATATTATTTTAATTATCTTATTAAATTAAAGGTGTAAAAATAACTATATTATTATCTTTTAACAGGTGATTGTAGAAAAAGGTCAAAGAGTACCAGCGGATTTAGTATTGTTGCGTACAACAGAAAAATCAGGCGCATGTTTTGTAAGAACCGATCAATTAGATGGAGAAACAGATTGGAAATTAAGATTGGCGATACCAGCTACTCAAAAGTTAGAAAATCATTCCCAACTGTTTGATATAAAAGCAAGTTTATATGTTGAAAAGCCTCAGAAAGATATTCATAGTTTCATTGGTACATTTACACGTGTAAGTATTCCAAATTATTTTGATAATTTGAGAATTTTATTTATATATGTATTATATTTACAGTATGATGGATACAGCAGTGAAGAAAGTTTGGGAGTTGATAATACTTTATGGGCTAACACTGCTGTGGCATCCGGATCTGCACTTGGGATAGTCGTTTACACTGGACAAGAAACAAGATCTTTAATGAATCATTCTGCACCAAGATCGAAAGTTGGCTTGCTTGATCAAGAAATAAATCAATTGACTAAGGTATTTAATGTATAATAAATAAATTTTATAAATGTTTTATTTTTGCTTCGTCACGAATATTAATTTAATATGATTTTATAGGTCCTATTTTGTGCAGTTATTGGACTTGCATTGGTCATGATGTGTTTAAAAGGATTTAATGGTCCTTGGTATCGTTATATGTTCCGTTTTGTTTTATTATTTTCTTATATTATACCAATCAGCTTACGAGTAAATTTGGATATTGGGAAAGCATTTTATGCTTGGTGTATACAACGAGATAAAGACATTGCTGGTACGGTTGTAAGAACAACTACAATTCCAGAAGAACTTGGTCGTATATCCTACCTACTGAGTGATAAGACTGGAACATTAACGCAAAATAAAATGGTTTTTAAAAAATTACACATGGGGACAATATCATATTCTCAGGAAGCGTTCGACGAAGTAACATCCGTGTTAAAATTCTGCTATACTAGTATGGAAAATTCTCCAACTAAACAACCCGTGCATAGTGTTAAAGTAAGAAGATCTGAAAATACTAGAATTTATGATGCCGTACATGCTTTAGCGTTATGTCATAACGTTACACCAGTTTATGATGAAGTCAATGCATCTACTAATTTGGATTCAGTGAGTGTAGAAACAGGAGAGACTGGAGATACTGGTTCTATTCAGAGGTAAATTTTATAAAAGTAAAAATAAATTATAATTTTTATCACATACACTTTCACTTTTATTGTTTTTATATTTCAGTCAAGCAGAAGCTGATCAGGCATATTTTATGCCTGAGCAGAGACGTAATTATCAAGCTTCAAGTCCAGATGAAGTGGCTTTAGTTAAATGGACAGAAGAAGTTGGATTAGCTTTGGTCAAACGTGATTTAAATTCTATGCAGTTGAAAGCTCCTAATGGGAAACTGTTAAATTATACTATACTACAGATATTTCCATTCACTTCTGAAACAAAAAGAATGGGTATAATAGTCAAATCAGAAGCCACCTCGGAAATTGTATTTTATTTAAAAGGTGCCGATGTCGTTATGTCTGGAATAGTACAGTATAATGACTGGCTGGAAGAAGAATGTGGTAATATGGCACGCGAAGGATTAAGAACATTGGTCGTAGCAAAAAAGAATTTGACGGAAGAACAATACCTTGATTTTGAAACGAAGTATTTGAAAAGAAATAAGTTTTTTAATATTCGTTAATATAAGATCAATTTATTTTTCTCTACATACGTTTTATCTTCTTCATAGATATAATGCTGCAAGAATGTACGTTAGCGATCGTGTTTCAAGAGTTACAGCTGTCGTTGAAAGTCTTGAACGTGAAATGGAATTATTATGTGTAACTGGTGTAGAAGATCGACTCCAAGACGGAGTGAGAACAACATTGGAATTATTAAGAAACGCAGGAATCAAGGCAAGAATATTACACACCTACAAAATAATATATTAGATATATAAAAATAATATTTTATTGTAATTTGAATTATTTTCAGGTGTGGATGTTGACTGGTGACAAATTAGAAACAGCAACGTGTATAGCAAAATCTTCATTATTGGTTTCACGTACGAAAGGACTTCATGTTTTTAAATCTGTTCTCACGAGAACTGATGCGCATTTAGAACTAAATACTTTCCGTAAAAAACAAGATTGTGCCTTAGTTATCAGCGGTGACTCATTAGATGTATGTTTACAATATTATGAACAAGAATTTTTGGAACTTGCATGTGGGTCACCTGCTGTTGTTTGTTGCCGTTGTTCACCCACACAAAAAGCTGATGTTGTCAGCCTAATACAAAGACATACTGGTAAAAGAACAGCTGCCGTTGGTGATGGTGGTAATGATGTATCTATGATACAAGCTGCTGATGCTGGTACATAAACATAATTTTTATACATAATATATAATAATATAATTCATTTCATATTAATAATTGAATATTTTGTAGGTATTGGCCTTGAAGGTCTTGAAGGTCGTCAAGCTTCATTAGCTGCAGATTTTTCTATCTCACAATTTAGTCATCTTTCTCATTTATTATTAGTTCACGGTAGAAGAAGTTATAAACGATCAGCTGCATTGAGTCAATTTGTAATTCACCGAGGTTTAATTATTTCGACAATGCAAGCCGTATTTTCAGCCGTATTTTATCTTTCTTCAGTTGCCTTATATCAAGGATTTCTTATGGTTGGGTAAGTCTGTATACATATACATGATTTTTCGTTATATATTAGTGATAAAATATTAAATATGTTATAAAATAATATTTTCAGATATGCTACAATATATACTATGTTTCCTGTCTTTTCTTTGGTATTGGATAAAGATGTATCAGGAAAAATTGCACTTACTTATCCAGAGCTGTATAAAGAACTCAGTAAAGGTCGTTCACTTTCTTATAAAACTTTCTTTATGTGGGTATTGATAAGCATATATCAAGGTATGCATTATTATTAATACTACTAATAATAATAATTTAACATACAGTGTATCAATAAAATATAATTATTGTATACAAATTTCATTTTTCAGGAGGAGTAATAATGTATGGTGCACTTATTATGTTCGAAGATGAATTCATTCACATAGTAGCAATCAGCTTTTCTGCGTTGGTTTTAACAGAATTAATAATGGTTGCCTTAACGATTAGAACATGGCATCATATTATGATCTTAGCAGAGATCTTTTCCTTAGCACTTTATTTATTATCTTTAGTTGTTCTAAAAGATTATTTCGGTAAGTATCATTTTTCTATTGAAATGGTATTGAATAATTGAAATGATCCATTTTAAATGGTTAATTAATTATAATAATTATCTATAATATTTTATTACATTCTCTTTTAAAACAGATGCCGAATTTATCAAGACAACTGATTTCTTATGGAAAGTATTAGTCATCACTTTAGTTTCCTGTATGCCACTGTATATCTTAAAGTTTTTAAGAAAAAAATTCTCCCCTCCGAGTTATACCAAATTGACATGAAGTACATAATATCAATCTTATTATACCAAAAGTATTACGAAAGAAAAACATTAATTTATATACATATATATAAAATTAACGGCACGAAAAAATTATTCATATTTGTATGTCGGTTATTTTTTCAAATTATTATTAATTCGATTGATCGATTTCAAAATGCTGTTGAAAATTTTACACAAAAAAGGTATATGCACCATTTTAACCACTAACTATTTTTGTATAAATTCTAAGCAAAAAATAATAATAGATATACATATATATATATCTCAAGATATGAATTGCAGAACTTAAAGTTCTTCAATGTTGTAAATTATATTGGATATTTATTACATCAATATTTATAGTCAATCAGAGCTGTCCTAATTAAAATCGACTGAAAAAAAGGATAAAAAAAAACCAACAACAAGTTCAATGTTATTTAAATTATTGCTTTAAACACAATGCTATTTATATTTGCTTAAAAAATTTATAATGCTGATTTAATTTCTAATTGAGAACACAGGAATCTCATTAAAAAGAAAAAGTTTAGTACAGAACTTGCATTTTTATATGACAATATTACTGATAATTGTTCTCTCGTTATGTAATTAATCTAATTATTAGTTTATAGAAAAATAAATAAGATCTTTTCTTCCATGCGAGTCTTCTATCGTATAAGATTGCATGGCAATTTATAATTTTGATCTATTTTTCTATATATATTTTTGATTTTATTATTATATTTATATTTGCTATTAGCAAATATTTTCTAATATTTTTGTATTTAATATATTTATTAATTGTATATGTGCGTATGGTAATACTTTTAGATTGATTAATTTTTCAAAATAAATGCTATTTAAGTTACAGTTATTGAAATCTATGCATTATTATAAAATATGTTATGCATAATTGTTTATCTGTCTAAACTGGTATTTGGAGATAACAGTCTGTGATTAATCTAAAATAGTAAAAAAATTGCCTTTCGCTATTTAACTTGCTGTAAACTAATGCGTACTTCTATCAATTAAGCTATATTTCATTTGTGCAATGAACTAAATCGAATGAAACAAAATATTTAAATGTTAATTGCATTAAATATCTTCTTATTTACTACTCCCTACATTGTTAAATGAAATATACGATTGGCAAACATTTTGTATACAAATATATGTTAAACATGCATGCAGGAGCTACTTGTAATTGTTAATAATCATAATGTTAATAAAACACTATAGATGATATAGTTGTTCTTAGATAAATATTGTTTGTTCCATGATAACATTTATAATTAATTTATGCATAAATAAAAATATATTCCTTCCACTTTATTATTATTATTATTATTTCCTGTTGAGTATTATATGTTATAAATTGCATTGACATTTATTAAACTATGTAAATCACATAAAACTTTATTTATTTTTTATCGTACAACAACTTCAAATCTGTGGGTTACAGCATTTTCTAATTTACGGTGAATAACATTAACTTCACTTTTTGATAATGTACGTTCCATATGTCTATAAACTATTGTATAACAATGTGATATTCTTTTGGTTTTAGGATGCGTGAATACATCAGTCAATATAACTTGTTCGATAATATCACCTCCAATTTCTCTGACTAGTTCGTAAAAATTTTTTGACGTAAACTCTTTATTTTCTGGTAACCAAAAACTTATATCATTTTTGCATTGTGGAAAAACGCTGACGGCCTGTAAATATTTACTTTATAGTCGATATTTTTTATGCACAATATTTCTCAGATATATTTTTATATTTATTATAATACCTTGTACTGTATCTGTGTATTAACATCGTCTACTTTAAATTGATTCAAAAAACCAGTGTCAGTACTCCAAAACAATCTTATGTCTGGAATATTGTAAAGACACATAGCTAAACGTTCTAAACCCATTCCAAATGCCCAACCCATGCGATCCATTGCTCCTGATTTGTCTAGAATACTTTGTCTTATAATACCACAGCCTAATATTTCTAGCCATTTATTTTCATGGAAAACTTCTAATTCCCATGATGGATGAGTAAATGGGAAATACTGATCAACCCATCGATATTTTACATCTATCAAAACAATTCTTATCAATTTTTCTTTCAATGTATATTATATAAAAATATTTTATATTATTTTTATATTAAATAAATTTATTTTATACCTTGTCCAAAAATTGCCTTAGCTAAACCAGTTAAAGTACTTTTCAATTCATGTTCCATGATTTTAACAGACTCTAATGTATGACAGTTTTGTTTTTCTGCAGTTTCTTCTTCTCTTGAATCGAATAACTTTAAATCTCCAGAACCATGAACATTTTGAAATATTTCTTCTTTAGTGCATATTCTAACAGCGTCAATTTGATGAAAAACTGGATAATGAGTAGAATCTATTTCGTCTCTACGATATACATCTCCAACAATGAGAAAATTATTTAATCCCATTGAAATAAGTTCTGCTTGATGAGCAGTTGTGTGAGCCCTCAGTAAAGTGTCTTGATTAATATAATAACAATCAGTTTTTTTCCTACTAAGATGATCTTTTGGAACAAGTAAAGAATCAAAATTTTGTGAAACCGTAACTATAGGATTTAAATTGTCATATACGCTGAACAATGGGGTTCCAGTTCTATTACGATAACTGTTATAAAAATAATTGACCACCCGTTGACGTACATGCGACAATGGATGATATTGAGTAATGTGTAAATTACGTCCTAATTTTGAAATAATTTGTGGTGTGATATTTGTCCAATTATCAACCACATATTTTTGTCCTAAGAGTTCTAGTTCATTCGAGTTTTTATTCACATTAGCTATCGTTGATAATTTTTTATCAACTGTTTGCTTTATTGTGTATCTAAAGAGAGCAGAATAAGAATGGTACCTAAAAAAATATATATTTAATATTATGGATTGAACTACAAATATTAAATGTGTATGCATGCTTACATACCATTTTAATATCATTATGCTGATATTATAATTATGTTTAGTGGTATAATACAGTATATTATTGTTTAATAATTTTTATTAAATACCATAATAGTAAATCTATTTTCAGAATTATCCTAAAATTGTAATACATGTATTAAGGTAAATTAAACAAAAAGAAGATTTATAATGTCTATCATTGCATAGAACATAATTTATCTATATTTTTCATTAATTACCTAATAGACAGAAAGAGGTTAACTTCAATTTAAAGATAACGAAAGGAATACTAAATATAAAGTTTTATTATTAGTATATACCTTTTTATTATAAATATTCTTTATAAATAATGAAATAACTTTGTAAATGAATTTTTATTACTTTGCTTTATATGTATGGGTGTATATAAACAGTACCAAAGTATTTCACGGTACACTCTAGCAGAGGCCAGAGACATCAAGTGGTACTAAGCTTTTACCAAATTTTTGGTAACACTAAAGTGAAATATTATATTAACATTTTGTGTGTTTTTATTTATATTGTAAAATATTTTACGAATTTTTAAAAATTTGTAATATTATTATTAAATAATTCTAAAAATTTTAACTAAATTATTATCAGTTATCGTTTAACTTTTACGACGTGGCCACGTGGTATGAAAAGTTAGGTTAGAACATTGTTTACATCTATTTTTATATAAAAATAATAAATATCTAATTTGCAAGTACATTTATTTATTAACTTTTAATAAAATAAAATTTTAAAAAGTTGATTTTATTAATATTTTTTGTTAATAATTTTATATTTAATATGTGTATATTTATATTATATAAGATATAATATTTATATATTTATATTATATATAATATAGTAATTATAATAATTATTATATAATTTTATTTATATTTTATTTTAGATCATGACAAGGTATACAAGAGCAAAGGGTGCCAAAGCATCAAATGAGCGTTTGCCCAACGATGCTACTCCATGGCACGTTATGAAACAGCAACTTACTGAAAATGAAACAACAGAGAAAAAGGTGAAAACAGCAAAAGAACTTTTAAGTGAAAAACAAGAAACTGATAATACAGCAACCGTTAGCTGGGCTAGTTTCGATGATGATAAATCCAATAAAAATGTAAATCAAGATACGATATCCAAAAAGAAAGAAAAGAAAAAACATATTAACAATAAGAATGAATCAGAAACCCAAGTAGAAGATAATGTTAATTCAGATAAAAAGATAATAGATAATGAAAATAATTCTTCACAATGGCATCAAGTTTTAAGCAAACGACAAAAGCGTAATATGAAAAGACAGAATAAGAATCTATCTGATTCGACTACTACAACTTCTATTAATAAGGAAGAATCTAATGATAATAATACTGATTTTCGTGATTCAAAGCGTAGTAACAATAATTTCCCTCAAAGGTTCAATAGAAATTATTCCAATGGAAATAACTTCAACAATAGATTTAATCAATATAATAATAATAGTAGAATGAGCAAACCGGTTAAGAAAAGGAAACCTCCAAAAATTAGAGATGATTTAGAACATAAAAGAAGAAAGTCTGATTGTGGACCTATAAAAATGATGTTTAATGGTGTAGAAGTAGAAATAGTCAAATATGATGGATTTCCAGTAAAAAAAGAAGATGCAGAGAGATTGAAAGAATTGAGACAAAAGATGGTAATGCAAGGTATGTATATGCTAAAAAAATCGATCTTAAATGTTGCAATGATAGATCATAAAGTAAATTTTGTATTTCTAGGTATACCTAAGTCAGAAATTGATAGTGCAATGAAATTGGAAAGAAGAAAAGCTGAGAAGGAATTAGCACGTGCTAAAAAGCACGTTTGCTTTCACTGTCGTAAAGCCGGTCATAATTTATCAGATTGTCCTGAGCTTGCAAATGAACAATCTGGAACAGGGATTTGTTATAAATGTGGTTCAACCGAGCATACTCATTTCGAATGCAAAGTAAACAAAGCTCCAGAGTACAGATATGCAACCTGCTTTATTTGTCGCGAACAAGGACATATTTCCAACCAATGTCCCGATAATCCTAAAGGAATCTATCCTGATGGAGGAGCTTGCAAGATTTGCGGAGATGTTACGCATTTAAAAAAAGATTGTCCGGATTTAATAAAAGAAAAAGAAGAATCTGTAATAACAGTAGATAAAATTACAGATGGTACTTTAGAATCTTTGGATGCAACCAGTGATAAAAATAAGAGTAGTCATACAGATAACAAAACCGCAAAAATTATAAAATTTTAAATTACTTTACAAAAATATTATGTTTTTTTATGTATTATTATGTATTATATTTTTCGACCTATAACATACAATATTAATAATAATGATAATAGTAATAATAATAATAATAATAATAATAATAATAATAATAATAATAATGTTTGAATCAATACATTACAAATACAAGATGTTTTAACATGATTCATATGTTTATGTATATACAAAGTTTCTTGATATACAAACATTTTCTAAGTAATTTCTTTTATATAAAAAAACCTGATATCAAACGTGATGTTATATTTATTTAATTCGAGCACTATAATCTATGCATCTTGTCGTATATTTACATAAAATTTGAATTTAATTAGGAATTCTATTCTCGTTGGCAATACGACATATAATTGTACATCATACATTGTAAGAATTACTTTCACCATTGCTTATAAAAAAAAATAATTACAAGCAATGCGTGTTCTTCTTCTTTAATAAATAAAGTTTTTTTTATTGAATTATTGTAGCTCCAGTGATATCAGATTTTCATTATTTACAAAAACATGCTTTATTAAAGATTAATATTCTATCATTTATCCATGTACATATTTGTACCTACATTAGCTGCCCTATAAAAACAATTATTTTAATAGTATAACAGAATTCATTTATTTATTTGATAAGCCTGTATTATATTCATAATATATTTGAATAAAAGATATTAATCGAAGCATATATACATAAGTTTTAACCGAAATTAAAGTGTAATATGCTTTTAAATAAGTAAAGCTAAATATTATATTTGAATGATTACCAAAGTTTAAACTTACAACTAATTGTAGTTATGCATAACATTATGTTTTTTACAATATGTATATATATATTTATATGTACTTAAAATAATTACTATATCCTTTAAAGAATGAAGTTTTTATAAATATGTAATACGTATGTATATATTACACATATTTTGGTTCATATTATACATTTTTATTTTTATATATATTATAATATATACATATAATTTATTCATATAGTGAATCCCAGGAGTATTCGTACCGTCACTGTTAATTTAAAACAATCAATATTTTCTTATAACACAATATTTCAAAATTCTTCTACACAGAAGCATATTTTCGGATTATATATATTAAACATTTAAATTGATATAAATTTTATTACAAAAGAACATTTTATTACAAGAAAATGAATATTTTACATAACTGGTAAGAAAATTGGTCTCACAAGATATACTCAGTAAAATGCAAGTACATATACTCTTGTAATACCCTACACAATTTTCTATTATTTAAGTAAAATTATATTTCCTAACAATAAAATATCTCGTACTAAAATTTATATATTATATAATCCTAAAATAGGTTTCTGTGTAAAAGAATTTTGAAGTTTTGCATTATACATAAATATTAATTATTTGAAATTTACAGCGGAAGTAGGTATGAATATTCCTATGACTCACTATATATACATATTTATATGTATAAACTCTTTTTTTTATTTTTTTAAATCTGTACATTACGATTTTAATATGTTGTTATTATGATTGTAGCAGTAATCTGTTTTGTATGTAGAATTAAGTAATTATTATTATCATTACTATTACTATTATTATATACGTGTAAACTTTTGTTTTTTCTTCCGATTTATTATTAGTATTAATGTTATTATTATTATTATTATTATTATTAATTAAATAGATAATTAATAACATTGTTAGCATATTTAGCATTATTAGCATTAATTTAATTATAGTAATTGACATCATTGAACGTAATTAGAAATAAGCATCATTTATTTTTCTACAAGGCAAAAATTTATATCAATATAACAACATTTTATTTTATGAAAAATTGCATAGTAACTAATTAATTATCAATAATCAACAAGAAAACGAAATAAAACATACATTAAATGATTATAACTTCAACTTATGTTAGATATTTTTTAAAGCCACATATGTATATTTTAAATTACCCAGAATTAATAGATTCTATAAGTACATACATACATTATAAATGATTAAAAGGGAATTTGTTAATTGTTTATTTCTGATAAGAAAACAAAAGAAAATAAGAAATTAAGAATACAATTGAACACATGTGAGCCCGCTAATATTTGAATTTCTTGTGGTCATATTTTGAAATGTTACATTTATCAATAATGATTTTATAAAAATTCAAGAATCAATATTATTTTAACTATAATATGGATGATAATACTCCGTAATACAGTGTCTTTAAATAATGTGTTCCATCAAGATTTATCAAGTGAAAATATAAGAAGAAATTTATTTAATGATAATCACTTTTACTACCTAATTAAAGTTGGAATTGATATTCCTAGCAATTATTATACATGCTTAATGATTTATACAATTAAAAACTAAGAAACCTTTTTAATATTATTATATCTGCACGTAGCAATATTTCATAATGAACATATTGCTATATCCGTATATGCAGAAAAATAACATGCATATGTATACATATATATATATATATATATATACTATTGAAAACAAAAATTTACTGTTTTAATTACAATAAAGACAAATTTCTCTCCTGTAGAATTTAAAATAATAAAACCCCACTCTTTTCATACCCGCAGACAAACAGTACCACAAAATTTCTTAATGTTCTTGTAACTTATTTCTTTAAAATAAATATTAATTTTTTTTGTATACCATTATATATATATAATCAGTCCTAATATATGTTATTTCCAAATGCTCAATTCAGTTATACTAATTAGATCAAATTTTCTAGAAATTTAGCGTTAGACGAAAAAAATCATGATTTAGCTTTGTAAATAAAATTCTCTTCATTGTGATGTATTATGCGTTCGCACTCTTTGGTATGTATGTAACATTTTCATTGCGAATTTCACGATTTTATTTTAATAATATATATTCAAAATATACTTAAAATAAACGACAATTTAATGTATTCTTAATTGTACAATTTTTGCGGACGTTTGTAATAATTATAATAATAGTAATCATGAAAAAAAAATTTCTTTTTAACTGCACCTGCTAGGTAGCTTCTGCTTTATGCGCAGATTCTATGATTTCTTTGAGACATCGTCCAAATTCTTCAATTATGAGTCTTTGTGATGTTTCATCATCAAACATATCACGCTCGGCTTCATAAGCTTGTGCCAATAAACATTGACAAGTCATGTCTACTACTTTATCAGTTAAAAAGTTAAATGGTTGCCTAGAAAATATAAATAAGAAATATATATATATTTTATTAATTATATCAATGAAACAACCAAGAATATATAATTAAGTTTTTCATATACATTATTTACTAGGATTATATAGAATTAATAATTAGTTTATCATCTTTAAAATGGCATACCTTGCACCAGTATTTGAAACAGCAGGCGGTCTAAAAGCCATTTCGGATAATTGCAGTTTGGCTTTATTTAACGTTAGCTGTGCTGTCCTTACTTCAGCAGCATCTGCCAAATCTTTCAGAGATTTTTTTTCTAAAGTAGGTTCTTCTATATTTCGACATCCGATACATTTACAATTTGCAGAACACGGAATTTTAGCCTAAAATTCATACAATTTCTCTCTCAATATTTCATTTTAATTTAACAAAACTAATTCGTTAAATTAAACAAATACTTAATACATATGTTTAGTTGATGTAGTTAATAATTATTTATAATACCTCATAACATTCACAATAATTTTTTAAACATCCGCTTCGTTTACAATTACATCCTTTGTTATGTCTACGTATATCATCACCAGTTTCACGACCTTTCCCAATTTTTGGACGAAAAGCATTTGGATTACGTTCCAAACAAGATTTAATAGCTCTTTGTCTTTCTACTTCATTGCCAAGATTGTTCGAGCAATTATTACAATTGCACATATGACAAAATTCTCCATTTGCAAAGCAATCACAATATCTGTGTGCAATTATATCCATGCTTTAAATGTGATATCAATTTTATACGAATATATTTAGAATAAATTAACTACGAATATATTAAATGTTTGTACTCCTAGAAATAAATCTTAAAATACTTATGTTCTTTAACATGAAAATAAATAGCTTCGACTGAAATATACGTTTCTGAATTATAAACAGTTTCATTAGACTGTCATTTTTATAATGCAATAGTAACCAACAAACAGTTATTCATTGCCTACTATTATTGGATTTGAACACAATTCTGAAGTATATATATATATATTCAATATGAAAAGAAAAGCTATTATACTTAATATTAATTAGATTTATTTATACTACTTATACTTATATTTATAGATACTATTTATATTTAGATTTGTCTAAATTACTTACAATTTAAGGCATTGCGATTTAGTACAATTACACGGTTTCCTCGGTCTAATACCATTTGGTTCAACATTTGAATATGATCTTTGAGATGATTTACCGTCAGATATAGTTACTGCTGTTAAATTATTAGGTATATTTTGCAAATTTTGTGTATTTCCTAATAAGTTGGGAGTTGATTGCTGAGATTTTATTTTTCCATCGTCTGTATGCTGCTGTTCCAATGAAACTTAATATAAGTAATACTTTTCTTGTTTTAAATTAAATATAATGTTTTAAATATATTTTATATAGAAATAAATTATATACCTGCTGTATATATTGTGCTGGCAGAACAACAATATTACTAACATTGGCATTAGCCGAAAGAACAGCTTGACCAGATGCAAGTTGACTTAAAGCAGATGCTGGTATAGCAACAGCATTTTTAGATTGATTTCCTACTGTTGCAGCAGCAGGGATTAACAATCTCTGACCACTTCCAGTTATTGTAGTCTTTGGTGCTACTGTTCTTAATGATTGATTACCAGTGTTCAAAGGAACAACCTGTAATTAAATTTAAATGTTAATTGATTTAATTAAAATGATGATAAAAATCATGTCATATTTTTTGGTATATATTTTTATACCTTTACTATTTGTTGTTGTCCACCTAATTTTTGACTTACTCCTACAGTTTGCAAAGTCGTTTGTGGTTTTGATTTGCCTACGGTAACGACATTGGTAGTACCAGATGAAGGAGTACTCACTAATCTAACATATTGCACCTGTAATATGTATGTAATAATATTAATATTATCTAAATGTGTATATATAATTAATTATATTAAAAATCATATATAACATAGTAAATAATTTTACCTGTCTTCCTGGCATTTGAATTTGATGTACTTGATTGGAACCACTTACGATATTTTGATTTGCAGGAATTCGAATAACTTGTCCACTTCCTAATACCGTTCCAGGCTTTAAAGAACTCTAAAATAGTCATATGTCACATGAAAGTAATCAAAATTTTTATTTAATTATTAATTTATTCTATATATTAATGGAAACAAATTAATCTATAGATAATTACCTGTCTAATAATCACTTTTTGTGGACTTGTCTGCATATTCGTTTTGCTTGATGAAGAAAATACTGATTGTTGATTAGGAATTGTTGATGCTTTAACTTGAGAATTAATTATTGGCGCTGGTAATATTTTAGTTGGTGATTTAACTGCACTGCTGGGAACTATTGTCATTTTCGATGGTTGAGTTGTCGAAGATTGAAGTAATTTGTTGACAATAATGCCCTTTAAGTAATATGAATGGTTATATAAGAATTGAATAATAATTTAATATTTTTAAAACATGAAGAAAACAAAAATAATATGTACCTGTTTCTGTGGAGTTGACGGTAATATATGTTGAACTTTGTTCGTAGTAATTAATCCTAAATGTTGTGCTTGTGCCAAGGTTATAGTTTTAGTTGGGCTCGTCATATTCTGATTACTTACATTACTACTTAAAAACTTGATTGTTTGAGCTGGTTGGATTTCATTCTGTGAACTTGTTATAAGAACTTGTTGTCCTGGTTGTGTTTGATTTCCAGTTAATATCATTTTAGTATAAACCTATGAAAGAATACACTTTGTCATAAATATATATTAAATTAGAGATTTACTATTAAAATATAAAATAAACAAAATATATAAAACTTGTCTTACATTCCGATTTTGTTGATTACTTTGTACTGAACGTTTGGCTGTTTGCACTGTTTTTACATTTTGTAAATTGCTTAGTGTAATACTTCCTGCATGGCTAGTTGCCATGAGAGGTTTATTTGCCTGTGTTGATCTTAATTGCAGAACACTACCATCTGCAGGTTTGGCTGTTATGAGAGTTTGAGCTATCGATTGTAATTGTCCAGTAGATGCTGATGCCGGATGAGAAATTTTTAAAATTTGACTGGTACCTTGTCCACTTGCCGGAGATACTATCATGATTGATTGACTTTGAGTTGCTGCGCAAAGATTTTGTTTAACCTACGAACATTGTTTTACAATATAAATAAATTAATTTTTCCGATTAATCTTTTCAGATGATAAAAACGATTTAAAATATAAAAATACCTGCACTGCAGATACAGGAATCCTTTGTAACGACGGTTTAGTTTGAAATAAAATATTTTGATTATTTTGACTTGCACTAGTGAAAACTATTTCTTCTGCTTGAATTTGTTCTGAAACGTCAGACATTTCCACATCAGGTACAATATTTTCAGACTCAATATTTTGCTCTATCATTACTTGTTCTTCGTCAGTAGCCATAACTTCTTCCGCATCCATGCAATCCAATTCAGCTTGAATATTCGCAAATGCTTCAAAATCATTTGACGAATACTGTTCATTGCTGTGCGAAAGAGTTAGAGCACTAAGATCTCCATCGCCTAATGTACGGGAATCAAGAGCTAGCGGTTCAACTAGGGCCCTTGCATTATGTCCTTTATTTAAAGACATGACGATATTACCTATTAAAAATGAGATATAATATTATAATAATTACTTATTCAGTATATATATATAATTATTTATCTATTTCATATTCTAAGGTATCGATAATTTAAATTGAATAGTAAAAAATTGTAGATTAAGTCTCTGTCAACTCAATTAATATTGAACTTTTGTACGGCCAATTTGTATGCACGTATTAAATAATAAAATAATGAGATATATAGAGACTGTGCATGAATATTTTCCATTGAAATTGATTATTCTAATAATGCATTAATGTTATTTGTTAGCGTATTAGAAAATATCAACAATTAATGTATCAGTGTCGACACAGACTTCTGTAAACACTACCTGAATATATGCAAGTTAGAGGTATATATAATAATAACAAATATAAATAATATACTACTAATAAAATATATTAATATAAAGGAATTAATCTAAAAAGATAACTGAATAGAAAATCACTTAACAATATGTTCAGTAGTAAGACCATTAAATAAGAATTTAAAAATTCAAAAATTCAAATCTTAAAGAAACATGTAAACACAATTGTTGAATTGTTGATTCACACATATTAAATACATACTAATGTTGGCAATAATGCAGGTGACAGAGCAACTCTAGATTCTTAATTATTAGAACAATCAAATTTGAATGATGATGGAAAATTCGAAGAATGAACCACTCAGGAACATTAGCGCCATTTATTGCTAGAACGCGCCATTTTCCATAAAACGAACTGGTACACGTATTTAATGAATTTTAATGCATTTATGTTAATTAAATGAAAATATTATGTTCAACGTAAAGCATTTTAAGTATTAATCCGTTAAATTAAACAAGAATCTATGTAAACATAAGCTTTATATCGAATAAAATAAAACTTAACCTAAAACTTATTAATTCGTATCAGGTACGTACAGTGCTGGGTGGGGGCGTGCCACGAAAGTCACATTATTTATGATAAAATTGTTATACATATAGCAAACATGTCACGGTAAACATTACAATGTCATTTAAATGCTCTCAGAAAGAAATTTCACGATTTATCGTACATACCTACGCGTTCCCTTGATATCTCGAATTTGTTCAAAATCACGCGCCCACCATTGCTATCCCACAGTGCACTACGCACCGCTGTGTACAAACAGACTTAAAGGTCGTTTAAAGCTAAAACATTAAATTACCGATTAAATAAACGTTTCACGATAAACACAAAATAAATTCTCTTTGCGATTAAGGTAGGGAGAATCGATATTCCGTTTAACAGCTAAATTGACCAACAATGTAAAGGGATATTTTCGCGCACTTTGTAGATTTCGATTTCGCCATTTTTCTCGTTCCGCGGCTAAAAACACGTCAACTTGTGAGGCGCCCTCTTGAACCAATAAAAAAGAAAGTTATCTAAAAAATGTTCATTTCGAAGGCGCTAAAAGAAATAAAATATATGAAATCGAATCATTCTAATTATAATTTTTTTCGAAGATTTTTCTAATATATATTTTAGATTTTTTCCGTTTAATATCTTATCTAATCTGTATAAAATAAATATAGAAAATGAATGTATAATCCATGAACTCGTGAAGAAAAATAGTTGTTTTGAGACCTTTATTTTCTATTACATATTAAAATCTACTACTTTCTGAAAAAATATATTAATCATATGTAATATATATGAACAATTAAATATATTTTGTAATATATAAATACTTAATTGAATTTTCTGTTGTTTCATAAGTTTTCATAACGATGATATATTGTTTAAATATTTGATATTAAATGTTTAACGATTATTCCTTCTTTGGCGGGAAAGTAATCATACGATTGGTCAAATTATACGATATTATTATTTGATTGGTTAAAATATATTCGATATAATATTCTCTTCACAATATATCCAAATTGGAGAATGTATCATTTTAATGATAAAAAATAATTTAATTTAAATAATACTAAATTATTAATTAATTAAATTTATTTTTACAAAATGTGATAATATTATTAGTCAATACAGTGATTAAATATATATATTAAGCTTGTATGTATGCATTTGTATGTATTTTTCTAGTATAGAAAATTCTAACAACGCCACCAAACGACATTATAAAATTATTTTGCAGAATAGAAGTTGGTCAATTTAGATATGATGAATATTGGTATTTGTTCAGAAATAAAATATAGTTCGTGGCCTATGTTCGTCGAAAAGATGGTGACGATAGCCGTTGTACGTCAACAACTCGCAAATTTGATACATTCTGGCGGTTCTCACAAGGATCAAGCCGAAAAGTATGTACAATTAAATAAATCTTATTTATATTATTATTAATTGACGAATAAAGATATATGAATTTTTTCTTTTATTTGTAGATATCGTTCAATTTTAGAATTGATACTAACATCGGCTAACTCAAACCAAATACAAGGAAACGGCGAGCTTGTCGATGCTTTAAAAATTTTCATCGAATCAAGTATGTTATTATTACTATTATCATAATAATCATCATCATTATTATTATCATCAATATTTTCTAATTGACACGTTTATTTATTTTTTAGATACAAATATAAAAAGTAATAACGTAAGTTTGTTTGTTTCAGTTGTTAATGAAAATGTAAGTTTAGTAATATCAAGACAAGTTTTATCAGATGTTAGTAGTAAATTACAAAGTCTACCTGATGAAATTTCGAAGGCTGTTTCACATTATACTTTAGATAAGGTATTTGAATATTTATGAATTAGAATAAAATACTTCCATCAAATTAGAAAGATATTTGAATAGATGTTTATGTAGGTTCAACCTCGTGTTATATCTTTCGAAGAACAGGTAGCTAATATAAGGCAACACTTAGCTGATATTTATGAACGTAATCAAAATTGGCGAGAAGCAGCTAATGTCTTAGTTGGAATCCCACTTGAGACGGGGCAAAAGTAATTATTTTCAATATCAAATTTTATATACATTAATAATAGTAATCTACTAATAATTTCTTAAACAATTTTAATATAATAAATAATACGATATCAATATCTTACAGACAATATACCGTTGATTACAAACTCGAAACTTATCTTAAGATTGCACGATTGTATCTAGAAGATGATGACCCAGTACAAGCTGAAGCGTTCATTAATAGAGCGTCTCTCTTGCAGGTAATTATTCCTCTAATATATTTTATTCGTAATAGTATTAATTCTCTATAATGTTTCAATTATTATCTTTTTCTTTCGTTATATTATAGGCAGAATCTAAAAATGAACAATTACAGATCTATTATAAAGTTTGTTATGCGAGAGTATTAGATTACAGAAGAAAATTTATAGAAGCTGCACAGAGGTATAACGAATTGTCGTACAGATCTATCATACACGAAGATGAACGAATGACTGCTCTTAGAAATGCGTTAATTTGTACAGTACTTGCTTCTGCAGGTAATTATATATTTTTATGTTCTTTTTTTGTCTATAAAATATCGTTATAACAAATTAGAAATTAATATTTAATAGGACAGCAAAGAAGTCGTATGTTAGCGACATTATTCAAAGATGAACGTTGTCAACAACTTCCTGCATATTCGATCCTGGAAAAGATGTATTTGGATCGTATAATCCGTCGTTCCGAACTTCAAGAATTTGAAGCTCTTCTACAACCGCATCAAAAAGCTTGTACTATCGATGGGTTGGGATCTACTATACTTGATAGAGCTGTTATCGAACATAATTTATTATCCGCTAGTAAATTATATAACAATATTACCTTTGAAGAATTAGGCGCTTTGCTGGAAATTCCACCAACAAAAGCTGAAAAAATTGCTAGTCAAATGATTACTGAAAGCAGAATGAATGGTTATATAGATCAGATAGACTCCATTGTTCATTTTGAAAGTAAGTATAATCATAATTAAGTATATGTTTTGCAAATGAAAAATATCTTTTTTATTCTAAAATAATTCTTGTTTTTTCAGCACGCGAAACATTACCTACTTGGGATAAACAAATACAGTCATTGTGTTATCAAGTTAATCAAATAATAGAAAAGATCGCACAAACTGAACCAGAATGGATTGCAAAAGCGATGGAAGATCAATTAGTTCACTAATATCAGTCTTCGCTTAATAATGAAAAGAATTCACACATTATAGGTAATCTACTTTTTTGTTTAATTCTTCATCAAACATTGAATTACTCATCATTGTTTTATGGTCAAACATAAAGATTTGTTATGCTAGGAAAACTTACACTTTAGTATATATAAAATCTCAGTTGTATTATTATTATTATTATTATTATTATTATTATTATTATTATTATTATTATATAGCGATACAATTTTTTCAAAACTTAAAAACTTGTAAGCACCATATAAAAATATTAGAAAACTTTGATGTGTCTAATTTATAGATTACCCAATTTTCCGTCTTTGCATTCAAGAAAAAGATTGAGCAAATTTGTAAAATAAAAAAAAAGCTGGTAGTACATACTGATTTATAAATATAGTAAAGAAAAAAAAAAAAAAAATTAAATATATTTTCTGTACAGATTACATTATCCCTTTCTATCAACAACTAATGTTATTAATATTAAAGAAATAGAAAAGATATTTATATTATTTATATAATTTTTTTAATGTTTTTTATTACTCATAATAATGAAATTAATACTACAAAACCTTAACATGTTACTTTCAAAACTTATTTATATTTTCTATATAAAATAAAACCGTGGAATAATAACTACAAAATTGTATTGGTGATATAATCAAAACTTGGAAAACGTAAGCTGTATTTAGTATAAGGATCGCAATTATATATTGCAATTTTTGTTATATGTTTTCATTGCACATATATATATATGCATATACATATATATGTATCATGAAGAAGCGATTCAAAGTCTTAGTCTAGTCTAGTCTAGTGAAAAATGAAAGAATGTTAAACAAAAGTAAACTTTTGTTAATTATAAAGTCAATTTATTAATCAAAATTATATTTCATAATTTGTTTAATAAATTAGACAAAAAAATGGCAGTCATTTATCAAGAATTGGAAAATATACCTACCCTAGTAGTATATGCAGTGATATCCCAGCAATAATGAGAATAAATAGTAATACATATACATACATATATATATATGCATATATTTATTTTTTCTGCTTTCTTTTTAATTTTAATAGCTTGATGTAGATAATAAAAATTTAATTATTAAAGAAAGATATTGTCTTTGCAATTTACTAGAGCTAGACAACGACTTAATCTCACTATTTACACCATACGTATAATTGTATATATGAGAATATTGTATACCACATGCATCTACCTTTATAATATTGCATATTATACTAGGAACAAAATTTTTATATTAATAAAAAATATTACTTATATGCAAAATATTTAGTTGTCAATAAAATGTATTATTGTTCAGTTTGTGAATGAATTCTTACATAAATACATCAGTGAGAAATAGCTAAATTTTGTTTTGTGAATAATTCAACAAAGTGAACGTACTGCAATTATACTATTGCAATTTTTTTGTATAGCACATAATGGCAGTTAAATTTAATATTAATTTTATGTGAATGTAATCTGTTTTTTCTATATGTATTTTATCTCTTTTTTTTAATATTTTTTTTTTGTACAACATTGTGTAACAAATATTTTATATTCTGTGTTACAGGATTCAACTGCTCAGACAAATTAACAATAAATTATTATACATATCTAGAATATTATCGAAGTACAGAAGGAATAATCATACCACACTAATTTCTTTTTTTGTTTTTACCTGTGTTATAGAAGATACTTTTCTCTTGAACAATTCAATGTATTTTATCCATGATCGTGATACTATATAGTTTAGTCCCTGTAACTGCTTAAAAGTGATGCATGATATTTTTTTTCGTGTGGCATCTATTTAAGGATAAACCTATCTACATATTATAGGTAATATTTTTATTTGAAGCATGTATTGTGTTGCAGTTTTTATGACATCAAAGTCATGAAAGTAATAACTGTTTGAAACGTCTTTTTTTTTTTCTCTGTTAAAGGTTTTATATTTAAGCCTCGAGATTTAATGCGAAACCAATTTTGTGACCACCGGAACTAAAGTTCTTTCCATCAATGTTGGATGACAAAGTCAAAGTTACACCTGTAAAATGAATTAATGAAAATACACAGTGACAAAAAATCATACATCCTATAACGCGTGTATTTACCTTCACGAAGTTTCTGTTGATATCCCAACCCTATCTGAAGTTGAGAATTAACTTTAGCCCTAACACTCGCATCATTATCAAGATTATATTTGGTACCAATTCCAAATTGTGTAACATTGTTACTGGAATTCCAAGCCAAATTAATGGCACCTTCTAAATCAGGTTTAACTTTATGATAAATGGAGGCCCCAAATTCACGACCATTGTCCCTATATTTAGATATTATAAAAACATAAATATTATTTTTCATGAATAAAAATTACTAATATCAATTTTAAAAAATTTAATACTTACACACAAGTGTGGAAACCAAAATCAGAGGCAGTAAATCCAAGAGCAAAATTGTTCTTTGTTAGCTTGCTTCTCTGCGAGTCGAAAGAAGCTTGATAGCCAGCAAGCCATCCTGAAAGCAAGAAAAAATAATAAATTAGAAGTTACGTTAAAATCTTTTGTACCTACTCTATTACCATCTTACATGTTTCCCCGGAATATCTTGAAAATCACAAAGACGAATCAAGGAAAGGATTAGAAAGGAGCGAGTATGGAATGGATCTAAACAATAAAATGTTAACCAGTTTCAGGAAAGTATAATTTGAAAAAAGAATTCCGCGAAATAGGAATAATAACATAACAATAAAAGAATATCACACTATGCACTATTATCCAAATTGCAAAGATTTTTTGTTCAAACATGAGAAACACAAGTTCGTGGTAAATTTTATGGGTCTAACATAAGAAACATGAAATAAAATAACATCAACTTTGACATATAGCTCCATGTGTTAAATCATAATGCAAAGGATTAATTAGTAATAAAAATCGGGCACATATTTATAAAAAAATATTAATAATTACCTTGATATCCTACAACTGCAGATGCATTAATAAGTGGACCAGTAGTAAGACTTAAATCGAGGTCAGCAGTTGCCGATACATTTTCATGTTTGTAAGTAGTCTTCAATTGTCCAGTCTTAGTTCTATAACGAAAAACAGTTCGTTTAAGAAAAAGCTTATTTTTAGCTAAATTTAATTTTAATTTTATTTGTTTAGTAAATTTTATTTCAACAATTGTAAAATAAGATCTCGTACCCAGTCTGAGGTGAGAAAGTACAACTATAACCAATGCTAAGTCCACTAAGTAATTTATCCGCAATAGTTATATCAGTTGCAAGAGTGTTATCCGTATTCCATTTCTCACTGAACGTCAAACCGTATTCCTTAATTTTATACTTGGTTTCCAAAGTAGCGAATACTTTTCCAGTATCTTGATTGGATACTCCACCACTGGAGAACTCAACTCCAGAATCAGTCTTGGTTTTGACGTCTAATTTTAAGAGGCCAAAATGATAACCATTGGAAAAAACGTCACGTGCACTTTTGCCAAGATCTTTGTACGTCGGGGGAGCCATATTTGTTGAAGTTTCTAAAAAATTAATATTATTATGTTATATATTCTGTATTTTTTATCATTTAGATATAAACAAATAAGTGTTTGAAATTTATATTGCAATTTTGTAAATTATTACACACATTATATATTATATTTAATCTTATGTTAATGACAATAAATTTATCATTATATATATGCACACATACTTATATACTTACATAAATATATAAAATATTTTAATTATATAATAGTTAAAAGTGATTTGAATACAAGTAAAAGTACTCAAATATAAAGTATTAATTATAGAAATTAAATATAAAAAAGGTTTAGACTTTAAATAGAAAAAAAAGTAGAAAGTGAGAAATTATTTCAAGAAACAAAAAAAAACAGATTTTTAATCGAAAAACTATTAAAGAAAATATCAGCAATAATTTAATTTTTGTAAATACAAATATATATTACGTTATTAGGTATTGGTTATGCGAACGGTGGTTCATGGCGTTACGCGAAAATGGAATGATATTGACCTGTTTCAGATATTACATAAGGAGCAAAAAAAAGATTTTTCTTACATCCAAATAAGACAAATTTATTCCGAGTTTAATAAGAAAAATTACTTATAAATCGTAGACAAATAAATCATTAAATTCAATTATCATAGGATAAAAAAGTAATTTTGAAAGATAAGAGACATTCAAAGGTAAAGAGATCGTTGAATTTAGTGAACGACATTGTTCGAACTAATCAAAGCCGGTAGTTACAATTTATTATATATCAATTTAGTCGTGCCTGTGATATTAATAAGTTTGTCAATGATACGACTAATAATTCTTATTAATAATAATTCTTATTGATTCATTTTTACTTACATTTTTATGTTAGGAGATTAAGAGAGTATAGGAAATGATGTGACTTCAGACAAGAATTGCGTTACGCGAGACAGTCTACCGCTGATACTGAGGGGAGATACAGGCTTATGACCGTTTGCGCATGCGCAGAGCTATACCTTAAATTTACAAATATTTTTTGTCGCTATTTTTATGCACTCAGTTAGTCTCACACAGAGACAATGATTGACTAACTTTAATTATTCTTATTTCCATTATCCTATCGATTATTATATTTACATTTATTAACTTAAAATCTAATTTTTTAACAATTTAATTTTTGCATCGATCATCCTCCAGACTATTACGTAACGTTAAAGAAGGAATCTTCTTCCCCCTCTCTTCAACACCGCATAGGCGTGGATTTTGCACGTATCTGTTTTATCTGTACACCGTTTATTGAACTTTTTTATAAAGGATTTTGTATTACAATTTAATTCTTCTTCTTTTTCGTTAAATATATACAATATGGCGTCTATTTGGTAATAGACAGATATTACAATCGATTATTTGAAAGATTTCAAATTTTAATCTCCAACTAACTTTTTGACTCTTTATTTATTTGACTCTTTTTTTATTTGTTTTTCTTTTTTTTTTAACATATACAATGTAGCATCCATCGATTTGATAATTGATAAATAGGTATCACAATCGAGTACTTGGAAGATATGAAATTCGAATTTTCAATAAATTTCTTGAACTTTATTCAAATTTTTTTTTTTTAAATATTTTAGAATAAAGTTATACTTGGAGAGGTAAAAAAAAACAATTATAATGCGCCCTTGAAAATCTCGTATCTCTTATGAAATCGTATATTATTCGTATTATGTAGTTTACTTACAAAGATCTTCATAGTCTGTTGCGCATAGTAGTATCGTAAAGTGTATTACGTGCCAATAAATTATTTATCCTAACACCGATAAATATTATCAAAAATGAAACATTTGTTAGATACCTTTAGCAATTAGGTATCATACCTTTTAATGATTATATTTCTAAAAAGTGTTTTTTTATAAGAAAAGAAAGGGTTCCGGTATTCATTTCTTATCAAGCTTTTTATAGAAAATTATATTCAAATATTATTTAAATGAAATTTAATGCAACTTTTTCTACTCCATGGAGCTCATAAACATTAAATATAATTTATTTTTTTTTATTTATTTATTTTTTTTTAATATTTCTTAGTCGTTTTGGAAATATTAAAAATATCGTAAAAAAGATCGCCGAAACGTTGTTCCAATGAGTTACATTATAATATAAAGCATAGCTTCTAAAGCGGATTATATACTTAGATTTTATAATTATATACTTATCGCTTATAATTATATAACTTATTATTTATAATTATATATTACACTTATAATATTTTCTATTTCATTGTTAAATTAACGTATAACGATAAAACTCAAACGCGTTTATTGAACCTTATGGTACGTGCTGGTGCACGCGACATTGAATGTCTGCTATATAAGTAAAATTAGATTGAAAATAAAATTAAAACATAACACGTACCGCAATATATTTAATCCCTTGATAGAACAATACTAATAATTATTGTCGTTTAATAATAGACGATAAATTATTTATAGCTGTTGTTTCGTTTTGTATTATCTTGCTTAAGTTTTTTCAAATCTTATTTCATGTATTTCTTCTATTTTTTTAATGTTTTTTTTTTTTTTAATTTTAAATATGACAAATGTTGATATTAGTTTAATAATTAAATAATATTAGTTAAGAGACTTTGTGTATAGATCAAGTGACGAATCTAAAAATACATCTACTGCTGGTCCACGTTGAAACTATGCAAAACGTACTTCTAGCATACATCTGTTATACTCAAGTCGATGATAGAACTTGGTGGTACGTTCTAGATTATACTATTGGCAAGATTAGCCAGTTAGTATTTTTGTTAAAACCTATATGTATATAAGGAACTGAAAGTATTTTGTTTTTAGTCGTCCGAAAGTATTCAACAAAGCCGTTTGCTACAAGTTGTGCAAAAAGAAATTAAATAAAAATTTAACAATTATCGAAGATAAATCATGTCAGAACAAAAAGTATGTGTTTGTTTCTTCTTTTTATATAAATAATATATCTTTTTGTGGTTCGTTTTAATTATTAATTAAAAGTGAATAGTTTCGAAAGTTCATACAAGTGAAATTATGAAGAGTGTTCATGTTTCCTGTGTTATTATTTTTAATAATAATTTAATTACGTGCATATTTGTCAAGTCGAAATATTGAAATTTATTATAATTTATATTTGTTTAGGAATCCGCTCAAACGAAGGCTTATAACATTCGTCAGAATGATCAAGTGGGAAGGTAAGATCGATTAAAATTTATTTAATTATTTTAATTAATATGTATAGAAAAAAAAAACAGATAAAGGGATAAAAAAAATTGGATTTTTGATGTTGTACAGGTATATGGTTGCAAGTAGAGAGTTAAAACCAGGTGAAGAAATTTTAACCGAGATGCCATTTGTTGTTGGACCAAAAGCTTTCACTTATCCCTTGTGTCTTTCTTGTTATGCACCATGGCCATCCAGTCTTGAAGAAAAACCACTTTGTTCAAAATGCAGTTGGCCGGTTTGTGGCCCGGAATGTGAAAATCAACCACAACATAAAGACTACGAGTGTCAGGTAATGATTTACTTATTCATTTAATATTATGAATCCGTAATAAAAATATATTGTGTCATATATGTATTTATTTAATTATTATGATTGTAGGTGTTCGTAGAAGCAAAAGAAAAATTTAACATAGTCGCAGCTTTGGAACAAAATAACGAAAATGGAATTCCCCAATTGGAATGTATCACACCACTTAGATTATTATTGGAATCATTAAAAAATCCCGAAAGATGGGAAAAGGAAGTGAAAAATATGGAGGCTCATAATAAAATGAGAATTCAAAAACCACATTGGAAATCGGATCACGTTAACGTCGTTGAATATATAAGGAAACAACTTAAATTGGATAAGTATGATGAAGAATTAAACAATGACATTTAATTTATTTACAATTAATTCATCGATTAATGTTTATGTCAACGATCTATTATTAATTCCAGATTTTCCGAAGAAGAAATACAAACGGCTTGTGGTATCTTGGAAATTAATACTTTTGAAATAAGAACGTCCAGAGGATTCACTGCTAGAGCACTTTATCCAACAGTTGCAATGATGAATCATTCTTGTGTTTCAAACACATGTCATAGTGTATCCCCCTCGGATTACAGGTAAGCATTTCATTTTTTTTTTAATTATATTTATTATTGTCAATCTTTTTTTTTTTTTTACTTACTTTGGCCGACAAGAATCGTAACGTATATTTTAAGTGTACACATTACGAATAATCAAGATATAACAGCTATGGTGTTAGATACCACACCGGTTAGATACCATAACCGGTAATTAAGTCTGCTGCTTCTTTTTTTTATTCATTTTCAGGGTATTCTTACGCACTACTACCATGGTACCCGAGGGCGGTGAACTTTACGGAAGTTACACGCATTCTCTTTTACCAACAATGCTTAGAAGGGAACACCTTCTCGAAGGGAAACACTTTGCGTGTGCTTGCCCACGTTGTTCCGATCCAACCGAGCTGGGAACTCACATGTCTTCGTTGAAATGTAATAAATGTGATAATGGGATTGTTTTACCGTTGGATTCTTTAGGTACTTCAAAATAATTATCGTTATTGTAGAAGAGAGTTAATTTATCCATAATTTTCCTATACATATACATATATCAATTAAATATATTATCATTATATTTACATTTAACAGATGAGGACAGTGTATGGAAATGTACTCATTGCGAGTTCTCAACCCCTGGCAAAGCAGTTAAAAAAGTCTTCCAAATAATTTCTGCCGAAGTTGAAGCTGTCGAAAGCATAAGTGGAGCTGATGGGGCTGATGCCATTCAAGAGAGAGAAACTGTTATTAAAAAATATCATTCAGTTTTACATCCACGACATGCTTTTCTTACAATGTTGAGGTGAACATACAGAATGAAAAAATAATTCTTAAGTAGACGACAAATTCTTATAAGATAAAGTTGATCAAGCAAATTATTATATATTTCAGGCATTCGTTGACTCAAATGTATGGACGAGTCGATGAATATTTATTGGATGATTTACCAATTGTAGTGTTGGAACACAAAGTTGACATGTGTAAATTATTACTTCAAGTACTGAACGTCATAGAACCTGGTTATTCGCGAATAAGAGGTAAACAACTGTATATAAGTGTATATATATATACAAAAAATCTTATTAATAAATGAATCGAATCGTGAATTTATTATCTAGGGATGACATTGTACGAATTACACGCACCTCTCCTCTTCTTGGCAAAGGATCAATGGAATGCCGGTACTATCGATCAAGCTGGATTAAAATCAAAAATGATAGAGGCTTTGGTAATATTGAAGGAAGCTGCAACAATTTTAACTTTAGAACCTCCAGATACACCAGAAGGTCAAATAGGAATTGTTGCTAAACAATCATTAGAACAACTCGAACAATCTATTCAAGAATTATAGTTAATTTGTAGAATTAATTAATATATAATATTATTTATGAATTTATGTATTGTATTGTATAATTTTTCTTTACTTATATACAATAAAATATTTTAATGAAACCAAATTCCTTGATTTACGATAATTTGTATATATATATTTGTGTTTTTATTTTTTGTATTGTACACCCCCGCAATGCAAAAGATGCATGTGTGCAATTTCGTTTCTAATTTTGTTCTCGTATCATGTGCCCTCTAACAGCGACAGATCGGCTTCTAAGAATACTGTAGTGTATCGTGCGAAAGTGCAACTTCCTACATTTCGATGTTAGTTCATTGCACGTGAAAATCTGTCTATTATTTAACGAGAACGTTCGATATGATACAATAAAAATTAAAAAATTTGACAATTAATTAAAAAATTGAACAAGAACATGTCGAAAGAAATGAATAAGAACAAATCATCCTCTATTTTGAAACCACAAACTTACAAGCTTGCGCATTCGGAAAAATTCGGAAGGTACAATTTGTCTACGTATGATTCATACATTATATTTTT